TCCCAAGGTTAAAGGTACTCATTTTTGAAATGCAATTTTAGAAATTCATACTATATGGAACATGTAGGTATCAAACTTTTTTTTTTTTTTAGGTTTTTGCCACAGGGCACAGGCTCTTACTAGGGAGAGACCGAGAGGTAGAGTGAGTCCTCTTAGGACTTGGGGCATTCACGCACATGCTTGGTGTGATTTTTTTAAGCTGCAGGGTCCTGGACTTGAACTGTGGTACGATAAGGATTAGCGGACTACTGCTGTAGTGCAGTGGTTAAATTCTGTGCAAGGGTAGGGCAATCCTACATAGCTGATCATAGTTTGAATCCTGACTCGGCAGCTTAAAAAACATGCTGGGCATGTGCCCGAATTCTGATGGGACGGGAAATGAAGGGAAGGAGGATTTGGCCTGTCTGTACCCTGTTGGGGTGCTTTATCGTTCTCTCTCACTCACAGGTGTGCACATGCCTGGTGGGGTTTTTTTTTGTTTTTTTTTGTTTGTTTGTTTTTTTTAAGGTAAAAGATGGGTCAGCTATAATTTGGGTCTGCATTTATCTCTGCATCATTTAACTGTTTGCACCAATAGAAAAAGGGATTGTGCACTCATGCAGGTTCTCTGCAACCTTACTGCCCTACAGTCTCTGGCTCCCCACGTGGAAGGAAACACCCTGGCAGAGCCCTTGGTCCACACCCAGAGATGGCATCTGTGGATTTCAAGACCTACGTGGATCAGGCCTGCAGAGCTGCCGAGGAGTTTGTCAACGTCTACTACACCACCATGGATAAGCGCCGGCGTCTGCTGTCCCGCCTCTATATGGGCACAGCCACCCTAGTGTGGAATGGAAATGCCGTTTCAGGACAGGAATCCTTGAGTGAGTTTTTCGAGATGTTGCCTTCCAGTGAGTTCCAGATCAGTGTAGTAGACTGCCAGCCTGTTCATGATGAGGCCACACCGAGCCAGACCACAGTCCTCGTTGTGATCTGTGGAACAGTGAAGTTCGAGGGCAACAAGCAACGGGACTTCAACCAGAACTTCATCCTGACTGCCCAGGCTTCACCCAGCAACACCGTGTGGAAGATAGCGAGTGACTGCTTCCGCTTCCAGGACTGGGCCAGCTAGTGGGCCAGAAAGGACTCTTTGCTGTGGCTCAACTCTGTAGAGAAACACAAATCTCAAATCTCAGGATGTGGAGGACACGAGTTCATTTCTGTTGCAGAGACACTGCAGACTGGACTGTGCCGAGGCTGACTTTTGCGTTTGTTTTGGGTCCTAGGGGTGTATACTTGTTTGTCATAGTTGCCTTTTAAAAGTAGTAAACTTTTCTATTTTTCCACTTGTCTGGTAGAGACCCTGATTCTAACAAGTAAAATAGTCATACTAATGTGATTTCTTTTCTTTCCCCGTTGTCTTTGACTAGCATTTGAGGAGGAAGGACAGGGTTAAAGGCATAGTAGTCAGTGGAGATATGAGGTCCACAGCTGAGCACCTACACCGTGCACAGGTACGCGTGTAGCTGACACAGAATCCCTTAGGACGCTGGAAATCGCCTGTGCTCAGGCCAGATGTCAGACTAGCCACGTCCAGCTGTGGTAGAACTGGACCCTTGCAGCTCAGGCACCTTCGTTATCTTCATGGGTAGTTCACCGTATGGTGCATTAGACTCGACTAACAGCTGGACCTTAGCATTTGATCTGAGAGTTAAATGATGAGAACAGATGAAATTAACTTCCTTATAAAGTGACTAAGCACTGCTTTTAAGAGCGCACCAGGGTTAGGGATGGGGGGGAGCATCAGATTTTGAAGCTACTTTTACTAGATCTGAGAACCAACCCTGATTATGTTTCTTCAATGTAAAGAAAGAACAGGAAACCTGGTAGAAAGCTCCATCATTCTTTGACAGCAGGTGGCATCTGTGACCTGCAGCTTCCTCGGTTATTTTCGGTGAGAGTGTGCTAGGTTGGGATAGATTGTGAGTCAGGTTGTTGGAATGGGAAAGCCTGAGAAGGAACAAGAGTCCTAATGAGTCCCATGGCACAGACAGCACTTAACTCCTGGTTCCCATCTCCTTTACCGAGTTCCGAAACCCTGTGTTGGGGGGATAAAGGACCTCCCCTCAAAGACTGGACTTAGTATTTCTGTTTATAGCTCAGTTTGAAACGGGATTCAGTTCTAGTCAATGAAATAGAAGCAACAGGACTTGAAGGAATTCTGCTTCAGTGGACCCTTTCCTCGTGTCCTTTGTCCTGCTGTCTGGAAGCAGTCCTGAGGGTCAGATCCTTGTCTCTAGCTCAGTTATAGTCTAGAACTCAGCTGTTCCCTAGAAGTAGGATCATTTGGTGCTAGAAAGAGCCCGAGACCAGGTTACCTACTCCCAAGACTTATTTTTAAATGAGAAAAATAAATCCCGTCTTAAGCTGTGCTCAGTCTGGAGTGTGTCACACCCTATAGCAGTAGTGGGAAGTGGTGAAAGAGGGCAGGCAGGTTTATTGCAGGGGTGACTCCAGTGGCACCCTGGGGTACCAGAGTAGGCGCAGATGTGTTCCTTGCGTGCATGGGTTTCCTGATCAGGAGATGACATCAAAATGGTAAATTATGTAAATGTGTTTTCAAAGTCACACTTGAAGGGGGTCATACCAGTCATACAGACTTGGCCATGACAGGCTGAGACAAGTGGTCCAGCTGGGATACGAGTCAAATACGTGGGAGACTCCAAACTGTCTGATATATACGTGGGTGATACCAAGTTGTCTGAGACCTTCCAACACTGTCCCACAGGAAAATGTACAAGGGAGTGGAATGGGGTTTAAGCAGAGGAGGATCTGGAGGGAGCTTCTGCTGGGCTTTAAACATCAAAGCCATCTCCGTCCTCAGCCTTCCCGAAGGCCAAGGTAAGATGCCACTCTCCTCACCTCGAGCCTGGATGGTGGGAAGGAATCGCTCAGAGATCTTGGCCTGAATCCCAGGAGTCTGAATCACATTGGCTGGAGAAACTTCAAAACAGCAGGCTTCCTAAGCTCGCTCCGAAGTGTCTAAAGCAGGACCAAGTCTCCTGCTACACCCTGCAACTCCTAGATGGCCAAACAGCTCTGTGGGGGCTGGGGACACAGCACATCCTACTCCCACCCTGTCCATGTGGGGGACTGGACCTGGACCAGGAGGGGTAGGTGGCCAGGGGTCTCTGGGATCCTCTGTGCTATGTCATCCTCTACTTCTGGGGGTGGAGCTAGTGAGGCAGAAGGAGACAGAGGGGTCTCCAGGGGTCCTGGGGGAGCCCAAGAAGAGAACAGATGACACAAGTGAAGATTGGTGAGTTGGGTTGAAAAGTACATTGAGGGAGGCTGGCCTGCAGCCCGCTGTCAAGCACTGTGCACGGAAGCCAGATCCCATGCAGTTTGCAGAAACCGGAAACTCCCTGGGGCTGTTGCCTGCCCAAGAGCCTAGTGTTAGGCTGAGAACCCCACTCCACGCCCCTGTTCAGCAGAAAACTGAAGGACAAGGAGATAACCAAGCACGAGGTTTAGTGAGAGAGAAAGACAAGGTATAGTCCACAGAGAGGGCCAGAGCCCAGAGTGGCAGGCAGGCCCCCGGCTTGCCGAGATGCAGAGATGCAGACATCCCACAGCCGAGAAGGGGCAGTGTGCAGGGGCCAAGCCCGCAGTCTGCTTCCCAGGGCTGCTTTTATCCTGTGTTAGGCCTTAGTTTAGTCCAATAGGTGCAAAGTGTCCTCCAGCTTGCTACTTTTTAATCTTGCTTGTCCTGTTTTTGTTTTGAAAGTTTGGTGAATGTTACAAAGTAAGCCAGTTGATGGGCCCTCCCTGACCTTTTGTGTTCCTGATACTCTAACCAACACCCAACACTAGGGGATGGAGAAATGGTGGGAAAAGGACTGCCCAGCCACCATCTCCCATGGGGCATGGAGAGGTGCTGCCTCTCTCTCTGGTGAACACTGTCTCCTAGCAATTAAGAAAAAAAAAAAAAATGGTGGGGCCACTAAGTGGTATGGTGATAATGGAGTTGGACTCCCACATGGTAGGCTGTGGTTTGAGTCTCAGTGGCTTGAAAATCATGCCAAGGATGTGTGAGTGTGTGCCCAGAATTCCAAGAGGACAAGGGAAGGGGTTGTGGCGTGGCCATCCCCTCTGGGAGGGAGGGAGGGACTCCTCACTTTCCTCTCTCTCCTCTCCAGCAAGCATACACAATCTGTGGGGAAAAAAAAAAAAACTTAAAAAAAAGTAGTGAGGACTGCTATTGCTTGAATATTTGTCCTCTCCAAAACTCATGCTGAAATTCATTTGCTGACCAGCCCGTGACCCGGTGGTTAGGAAGTTGGATCCCACATGGCTGGTTGTGCAGTTGGGACCTGGTGCCTGCGGCTTGAGAAGCACACTAGGCACATGGGTTGCGTGCCCAAACTCCAAAGGAGGGAAGATACAGGAGGGACTCAGCGTACCATGCCCAGGAGGGTGCTCTCTTAATTTCCAGCTTTCCTCCTCTCTGGCCACACACACACACATGCTCTAGCAAATCTTTAAAAGGAAATCAATGAAACTTATTTGCCAATGTAAAGATATTTGGAGATGGGGCTGATTAGTCAGGGAGGCTCTGTCCCCACAGGTGGGTTTAATACTTTTTTTAAAAGGGCTTTTGGGTGCCTGCAGATGGCATGGAGGTTAAGGCAGCTGGATCCCACGTGGTCAACTGTGTAGTCCCACTCCCAGACCTTTCGGCTTGAGACACATACTGGGCACGTGTGCTTGCATGCCCCAAATTCTAAGAGGATAGTGGAGGAGAATGCATTGGGTGTGATTCTCCTTCCTGGGGCTGCTTACTTTTCCTCTATCTTTGGAGAGCCTGAGGCCATATAGTGGAAAAGGTGAGGGAAGCTTTTGGGTTGAACCATCTGCCTGTTCTGTTGTCTCCCTTCTGCCATAGGGTGGCACAGAACAAAGACTGTTAGTTAACTCAGGTAATCCGGGAATCTAGACCCTTTTGAATGTACACAGTCCTTGCTCCTTGAAACAATTTGGAGTGAGCATAAAAGCCACGTGATGTTGGCCCTGTTACCAGTCTCCAAGAGGACCTGCCCCATGGCACAGAGGCTAAGTGCTCCGCTTTGGGAGCCAGATCCCACATGACCCATCTGGCCCACGGTGTTCAGACCCTGGCCAGGGTGGCTTCAGGGACATGGCAAAGTGTGTGTGTGCACGACCAAAATCCTGACGACATGGAAAAGGACCACAGCCCAAGGAGAGGGGTGCCCATCCTCTCCCTCCCTCTCTCCTGTGAACGCACACATGCCCAGTCAAATTAAAAATTAAAAATTACCAACCTCATAAGAAATGGTTTTCTTAAAGTTGTGACAACTGCCCAAATTGAAGGCAGGTAAAGTCACGGGATGTGTTAAAACTCAAGTTCTTGAGCGACTCCAAAGCCACCTCTGTATGCTTAATCTGGCCCACTGGGGCGTCAACCTTTCTCCGGGCCTTGGGATCTGCACTAGGGAAATTGCCCATGGAGCTGCTCCCCGGGTGCCTCTGCCCTTCCCAGGCGCCTGTGAAGCCGGCCTCATCCGCTCGGAGGGACCACAGCGCCACCGCCAGGCACAGAGGGAACATCGGGACCTACGGCACTCAGAGAGCGCGAACAAGCCCAGGTCCCCGCAGGCCATCAGCGAAGGCTAGGTAGCCGAGGACGTGCCTGAGCTGCGCGCTCAGCGGCAGGTCTGGGTCTCTAGGAGGTGGCCAGTGACCTCACTCTGCGACCGCCCAGAACCACTAGAGGACTTGGTCTGGTCGCCAGACCACCGTGTGCGCGCCACGTGACCCAGGGCTCGGCTCCGCCCTCCGCCTCCAAGGGCGTGGCCTAGCTGCCTCAGCGACAGCCAATGGGCAGCGAGAGCCCCGGGGTGGGCGTGGCTGGGCGGGCCAAGGCGAGGATGAGGGTTGGGCAATTAGGGTGGGGAATTTGGGCTGGAGGCCGCTTTACGTTTGTCCTGCAGAAGTTTAGAATTTGATAAATTTGGGAACCAGCAGTTAGCGTAATGGCTATGTCGCTGGACTCCCATGTAGTCGACCGCGGTTTACGTCCCGAACCCGGTGGCTTAAAATTCACGCC